GATAAAACGAGATAGAGGGAGAGATGGGAACACACACACAGAAACAGACAGAGAGAGAGAGAGAGGGATAGAGATAAAACGAGATAGAGGGAGAGGCAGAAAGACATGTAGAGAGAGACACAGAAACAAAGAGATACAGACACACAGAATGGGACAGGACACATGGAGGCACAGAGACAGGACAGACCGAAAAAGATAGGCACCCAGAGAGGAATTGGGACAGGAAGAGGAGAAATAGAGACACAGAGAGAATCAGAGACAGAGTAACAGACAGTAGGAGAAACACACACACAGAGAAAGGGACAAAAAGAGAGAGACAGAGAGAAGGAGGAGAAAGACGAAGCCTCCAGGAGCTGGCCCAATTGTCTCCATGCCCCCCCTTTGCCCTCTCCCCATGCCTCCTGCTGTATCCCCAATAGGGCTGCATGTGTCCGAGAGCAAACGTTCAGGGCATCACTGCCGGCACCGCATCCTGGACGTGGTTGTAGGCAGCTCAGGGTCATCGCCGCCCGGTATTGTTCTCACTTCCTGATTCCTGAGACCGCAGCGGCTCGTGCCCAGTCTGTCTCTGAGTGCCCAGGACTGACCGGCCGAGCGGTCCTATAGGGCACAGGCCAGGGGCGTCGTCCTGCATCTGACATCCCTGGCAGGCTTGCAAACCTTCTCACAGTCCCTTCCAGCAGCGCCCACTTCACATGAGACACACAGAGCTCAAATGTCATGAACCTACAGTCAGCAAGAAAAATGCCCAGCCCAGGCCACCGGCTCCAAACACCAGCATCTCCGTGGCATCAAAGCCCACGTCTCCGAGCCCTTCTCCATCCAAAGCCAGACCTTTCATCCTTGTGTTTCCACGCTTTGTGCCAAGGGTTCCCGAGGAGGGTGAGGGGCAAAGCCTGGGATTTGTCTCTTGTTACTGGTGGTTTGCTTTAAAATGGGGTGGGGGTTGTTCTCATGTGAGCACATTCACCTCGAATCTGTTGATGATTGCGCCCTTTAGGGAAGGTGTCCTCGACACTGGGCTTGGGAAGAAATGCCAAACCAGACAAGGGTAGGGAGAGGTCCCCAGCAATCTGTCTACTCCCAGGCCACCCCAGAACCCCTCAACCCATGAAAGCAGCTCAGAATTGCACTCTGCTCCCAACAACACATTACTGTGGACTGTTTTCAAGTTGACACCACACAAAACAGAATGATATGCTGCCTGGCCTTCTGCCATCACATGGAGATTGCCAGTACTTCCTTCCTGGTCTCTCTCAGTCTGGAAGCTCCGCTGAAACTCTCAGCATGACAGCCACATGAAAGCCTCCCTGGGCAGACGTGGCCCTGGGAATCAAATCTGGGTCACCCACACGGAGGCGAGACTTGTACTCCTGACCCACTATCCATCACCCCCTCTGCCTTCTCTTATTGTTAGCTTCCGTCACGTGAACCCCTATCCATGTGAACTGCAACTGTGCTCCATACGGGTTTCAATGGCTGGTTTTTTGGAAGTAAGTCACCAGGACTTTCTTTCTGATCTTTCTCAGATTGGAAGCCCCGTTGAAAGCTAGTCAGCATCACACAGAAGCGTCCACGGACAGAGAGGAGGGGCTGAGCTTGAGGCACCCTGGCCAGGAATCAAACCCCGGTCTCCCACATGGAAGGTAAGAGGTATACCGCTGAGTCCCCTCTGCCTCCATCAACGACACCTGTTAGGCCTCCCTCTCAGTGCAAAGGCACCACAGATAAAAGACTGGTACATATTTCGTTATGCATGATCTTGTTTCGTTGGTATAGGGTGATGGTGCTCAACTTACAGGTGAACAGACGTCGAAATCGTTGCTCCACCTACAATCTGTATCATTGTCTACCTGGACTGGGAGCGGGTTAGGATCTCACAGTCTGCAACCAACACACTGAGGTCTTTCCACCTTTATCTGTCTCCCCACCTGCCCCCTCCCAACTCTGTATCTAGCACCTGGGGAAAGACCATGGGCCAAGGTGACATGGATGGCCGGGGGATGTACCGGACTCTCCTCCCCATCCCACTGAACACATCACTGCATGCTCACCTCGGAGAACACCGAGTGCAGGTCTGTGTCTGCCCGCACCATGACTGCCACTCCTGTGTCCTTCTCAGACCAGGTGCTGACCACAGATAGCTCTGAGTCCCCAGCGCCTGGTCCAGAGCTTGTCATACAAGTGGTTTGCAATAAATGCAGCAGTGGTGAATGAGTGATACACAAGATGAGCTCAGTGAGGGTGGATGGGGGCATGGGTGGATGGATGGATGGATGGTGGATGGATGGTAGATGGATGGATGGATGGTGGATGGGTGGATGGATGGATGGATGGATGGTAGATGGATGGATGGATGGATGGATGGATGGATGGATGGTGGATGGATGGATGGATGGTGGATGGTGGATGGATGGATGGATGGATGGATGGATGGATGGATGGATGGATGGATGATTGATGGATGGATGGATGGGTGGATG